CTGGTATGATTCAATGGAAATCACTATTCATGGGAAAATCAGGGCTATCGTGGACTGGCCTGCGCTACTGTTAATTTTTGACTCAAGAATAATATATTAATTGTCTGAAAGCAACCTTCACAAATTTCTGTCAGCCATGTTATGTCGCTTGAAGCGATACGGTCTTTACCATAGAATGTGGTCTACTTCAAGCGCATGCCAACACCATTTTGGTTTCATCGCGATGGTGTTTCACTAATTAAAAGCAGTAGATAAAAGAATCTAGTTCATTTCAAGAATATAATTGCTACAAGTAAAAACTTGCAGGCTAAGGAACACCTGCTCTACCTTAAGCAAATCACATCGTAACAGACTGCGTCGATGCGCGCAGCGACGTCGTCACCTCATACCTCACAAGGATGGCTATATGACAAATCTATCTTACCAATACCGTTAAGCTAAGTGTAATTTGGGGCAGCTTAAATTTGTGGCGAATGCTCTATTGCGTTGCCCATAATATGAACCGTCATATGCCATAATGGTGACCTTGCGTATCGATGAGGAAATACGTATAGCGTATGTGTCATGCTAAATGAGTTGCTTGGTCCTGAAATTGAAGAGCAAACCAGCTTAAGCTCGGAGATGTTGTTTTATGGAAAGATTCAAGTGCACCTTTGTGTCGCTATTTGTATGCGAGACTTGATGCATTGTAGAACCAACGAGTTTGCCATTCAGCGCGTGTAGCGCCTAATGATGAAGACAGCGAGAACCGAATACTATTCGAGGCGCTCGATACTCCCTTGAGTGGCTACCTTGTAAGGGGAATGACCAACAGCTTAGTTAGTGCTACGTACTGGTGACTAAACATATATTAATGAAGAATAACGTATATGCGCAAAAGGGAAAAGCAAGCTGCATGCAAAACTATGTATTACATAACGTGATGCTTGCAGACTCGTCCGTACCAGTAGTTATAAAAATAATGTACCATAATATGTATTCATGAGCATGTCTTTAAGATCGAAGTGCATTAATGACAGGAGTGTGAGTTGTACGTTTTCCATAATAAGGTCTGAACGCCGTTACAATGAATTTGAAAGTATCAGTTAACCTGAAAAAAATTCAATTTTAAGTTGCAAACCGTCTCGTGCTCAACACATGGGCATTCTGTCGCACGAGATAGATATCTATTGAAGTGAGTAAATATTTACAATTCGTCATCAACTTGGTTCGTACGCCCACTCACAAATATTTTGCATTTGTCTATTCCGTCCGCAAACGCAGTCCCCTTTCGATTCGAAGCATCGAAACGAACAGGTCTGTAGAAAGTCTGAAGCATCAATAATAGCATAGGCTATATACTATTCTTTTATATCCATATGCATTACAAAATGGCTAGACATCCAGATGTGCAAATACAATATTAGCGTTTGCAAAGATTCAAATCACACAGCTGTGTAGTTGTAATTATTTAGAGGTTTCAATTGTTTGTCTTATCGTTCGACAACTTGTCCCTGTCACGCCTTGGGCAAATGCCCAGTGGTCTACTAAAAGGAGGCGTGTAGAATTGGTGTCATTGGGCATGGTTGACTGAGGAAGTGTCTTCACAATACAATATGTGAAATCGCTTCTTTATCTGATCGATGATTGTCTTTGTCTATGTGGTACGGAATGATACGCTGTCCTTTGTGAGCATGATGAAGATATCCTGCTCTTGTACGAACAGTCGAAAGCTTAAAGCGTAAGTTTTTAACTATGATGCCAACGGGAGGTCTTCTTTTGCATCCAGATGTAAAACGGGCAAAACACATTTGGTATAAGATGACGGATCGAGCGGACGTGAGTAAATGTGAAGACCGGAAACTCAGACTTTTCGATGAGGCAAGCGATAATAGCAATGAGGATGTCGCTCCAGCGATCATAGATTTTCCTGGACTGGAAGACGAGCCGCTTGTGGCTGCTTTAGTCGAGTGGGTCGACAAATGAACCCAAGCCCACATTTTCGTATGTGTGTGAAGGCGTCTGCCAATGAAGATCCGCTTTTTCAAATTATGGATAGGCAAACTTTGCTGCTACAAGAAAAGCGCGCAACGGAACGACAACGACGAGAAGACTAAAAATTAGGCACAAGGAAAACCATAATGATTAGTAAATTAAACGAGAAGACGAAAGAAAATCATTTGAAGAAGAGCGCTTGGAAGTCGAAAAGAAGACGGTGATTACAGCTCTAAATATAAAATCTAGTTGCAGAATATGTTTATAGAAAGTCATTTTCAAATAGATGGTCTGCTTTATGCTCATGCGCGGCATAAAAGTTACTGAATGAATTGTGTACTACATACCTTGAGTGGATAGTAAGGAACAATACTTTTATTTGCACAATGATTTTTCTTTCACCGTTCTCTCCGCATGTAATTCGGTCTTTGATTCAAGGAAAAGAACCTTGAAAATCTCGCATTCCCCACCATGCGGCTTGTCGTGCTAATTTAGCCTGCTGACCTTAAATATGTCTTCGGCACTATATGTGAGTGGCCAATCTTGATGAGGAATGGTATTCTAGTCGAGAGAGAACCGAATCTACGATCACACAAGATCCGAACATTTCGTAGACATTAGATAGCTTGGAATGGACATTGCCAAATTCTGAAAGCTGCCATCGATATGACCCCGTTCGGCAAAAAAAATCTGTGTTCAACTATTGTAAAACATATTCTGCATCATAGGCGCCACCGACGGCCCAAACGTTTGGAAGCATCGAATACTTAAAAAAGGCGGTCTGGAAGTGCTCAGTTTCTTTAGCCGTTGCAAGAATTACCCGCGCGTCTTCATGGGACGTCAAATCAGAAACAAGGATTTGTGGTCCGAATGGAAGGAACCGTGAACATGCCGACGAAGTCACACTGAAAAGCAAAATATATCGTGAAACCTCAAGTTGGTGTCCACCGCTAATCATGAAGCATCCATAAGTCTCGACTAACCTTGCTGGGCTGCAGATAGATGAACGATTTATCCGGAATTTGAGTATGGTGTAAATTTCGTTTATGGTTGATTGAAGACCTGAAGTCGCTTCCTGGATGCGCGATGATTCAGCCCGTAAAAAGTAATTAACAAATGGTCAAATACTAAACCGAATCCTATAGAGTCATAAATGCACGAAACAAGCCTCGATGCCAGATACGACGATCGCGACTGTGGTGAGATCGATACCATCTGCACTCGCTGCAAGAAATGAGAGAGTAGTAATAGATTTTTGTAAGCACTTTTTTAGGTTAACCCTTTGCGTCACACACTTAAAAAGGATTTTCGTGACTAATACACACAAAATACACATTTTGAATTTTGTTTACCACCGCCCAAAAAAGATAAGTATTCACTTCAGAGGCTTTCAATGTTTTTCGAACGCAGCAAAACCTAAACCTTACATTGCAAATAAATCTTAAACATAACTGTACATATAAGTAGAAAAGAAAAACGCAAATATCAAACTTTTCTTCAATTTATCACATTTTAATTGATATCGTAAAAATGAACTGGGTTAGCTCCTCGCTGGAGCTTGCGGGCTCGCTTCTCGAGTCTGTAGATCAGCAAGCCGCTTTAACCCTAGCCGGTGCGCCTACATCAAACTTTTTTGTATAGTATTCCATTGCATCGTTTTATCCGCCTTGATAATTTGCGACAGGTGGCGACGAGAAGGAGCACAAGGTTGAGCTGCTGGTGAGCCGGACATCCGATGAAAATTCGTTCTCCAACGTTAAAAACAAATTGCGGGATGATAGTACAGTGGAGAAGATTCCAATATCGATAGTAGGACACTACAAGATCAATTTTTTTGGCTGAAGTCGACTTCTAACTATTCTTTGGACTGAACGAAAACAGCAACAGGATGGCTCCTCAATTTCTGGCTCTAGCCATTCCAATATGGCTGACAATTCGACGAATAGGATACCTCTTGTAAATTCTGGAAAGAAGCTGGCGGGTTTAGTGAGTGTTATTTCTACGCAGTTGGAGAATGTGTCGTCTGGAAGAGGAGAGGGCTCTCTAGATAGTAGCAGCGCACAATTGGTCTTGGCGGGAAACGATTACGCTGGACTGCAGAAAGACCTAGTACGAGCGAAAAATGAGCTACGGGCGAAGGAAAAACAGTTGAGCAATACACAGAAGAGCATGAAAAGCTGTGAGGAAGAATTGTTGGCATTGGAGAAGGAATGCGAAGTAAAGATTGCTCAGGTGCAGCACGAAGTGCGTGTGGACTGAGTATTATATTATCTCTTTGTGTCAATATCAAAAGTGCCTTACTTAATTATGATGGTACAAACAGATGTCTATCATTCAGCAGGACAAGAAATTGGAGGAGGCACAATTTATTCAAGCACTAGAAATAAAAGATAAACAAATACGCGCAATGAAGGCTGACGTCGCAGCCCTCACAGAAGTCAATGTTCAATACACCGATGAGATTGCTCTACTAAAGGTCGAGTTGGCAAAGGCGGTGGAGTCAAAGGACACGTTGTGGACATCAGCTGCATCGGCGAGTAATGAATCAGAGCACCTAGTTGAGTCTCTCCGCTCCGAGTTACAAGAAACGCTCACAGCTATGACGAACCTTAAACGTGAATATGCGGAGTCCAAAAACATTATGTTCGCTCGCCAAGTGCAGCTGGAGAGCATGAATACGGAGCTTGTGAACAATGTTGCAAATCTCGAACGCGAGCTGGCGAAGACAAGAGAGACTGTCGCTCCAGATTTTAGTACGAAAGCCAACGTTAGCTTTTCTCATGTTGGTGCAGGCTCTAATGTAGCGTCGATGACTGATGACTTCCGACGAGTGCAGCAGACATTGACACTGACAAAAAAGTCTTTGCAAGATGAGTCAAGAAAGAATGAGTCGCAAAAACAAGAAATTGCTGCTCTGACTGAAGAAATACTTCGCCTCAAGCAAGTCGTCCAGACTGCTCAGGAAAGCAGTATGCAAAAATTAGATGCAGCATATTCTGAGAACAAGATGCTAAGGGGGCGGGTAGATGAATTGACCGCTCATCACAGCACCATTGCGGCGGGCGGTGGGGAGTCAAGAATTCAGCAACTTACTAATCGGTTAATCAAGAAACAAGAGACAATTGACTTGATGCACAGTCGCGTGACGACGATGGATTTACGTCTTCAAGATGTGATGAAGCGGGCACAGCGAGCCGAAGAAAGACTTGCTCAAATGGGCATGGACGACATGGAAATGGCATCGTTTGTAAGAAAGTCTGGAAGCAGCACCCTGCGATCGCGACCGAATCGGATCGTTTACATGATTTCACATTTGGCTCCTTTGGTGCAGCGAAGTCACCGCGTGGTACGGGCGCTAGACGTGCTCGACCGTTGGCTGTTGTTCCTTGGTCGAGTGTATCTCCAGGCTCCATTTGCTCGCTTTGGGATGCTCTGCTATATTTCACTGATCCATTGTTGGGTCTTCATAATTTTAAGCTTTCACACCAGTCATCTATCTGAGGAGATGCAAAGTAAAAATGTCGTCATCGAGCCAAAAGAAAGCGCAATCACCATGAAATAAAATTTTGAATGGATTGATCGTCATTAATATGTTGAAGAATCTGAGTTTATGCAATTTGAGCTTTTGTATGAGCCGAGTATTTTTGGCTTGAAGCACTGATGTCTATATATTTGGCGAAGAATGTTGTCGACACATGATGCTTGAAAACTTACCTTTCTGATTCATCAATGCCCGTGGCGATGTTATGATGACACACCATCGGGAACGCAGTGTTCGTTCGAATAAGATGTAAGCCCAAGATATGCTTTTTTATTCGGCTGCGAAAATAAATATCTGTATGTATATAAGGTTCGAGATCTTTAGTTGCACTTCGATGAGGAGTCATTATATAGAGGTTTTCGATGGATACGGTCGGATAAGTAGTGAAGAGAATAGGCGAGGCTAATGTGGTAATTTGGCAAAAATTTATTGACTGTGTGCTTTTCTCATGGACACAAAATCCATCTATCTAGTTCTTGCTTTCACTATACTATTTACCTTTTAACTTTTCGGTGTTCGTAAGTGCTGATATATTATATTTTTGTGAGAACAAAAATACTATGTTTAACTATCTTACAGATGTAGTTTCTGTGTCATTATGCTGCTGACGTTCTACCAACACAAAATCTCTCAATATAATACATATACTTATTCTTTTCCACGTTACCTCTGCTACCACAGCCCTTATCTCTCATCAGTGCAGAATGAAGTTAAGTGAGTGCGATTTTTGGCCAAACTCGTCCGAAGTGTCACTGTTATCGCCTCCCTCATCCCTTTCAACATTTAGCTGTCCTTGACTGTAGCGATCACGTTCATTTCCGTATTCCCGTGACTGGCTGTCGCTACGCGGAGTTTCGTAGCCATTCACATGCGACGGGTGTTGCGGTTGTTGTTGCTGGGTATGGGTCGGCACCATACGTAAACTGTCCTGGTTTTCGCGTACACCTTCATCGTCCTCAATATGATGTGTTAGTCCATCCGTCACGGCAGGATGTGGTAGGGTGCGCTGTGGAGGTTCGCCGGTGAGCGCTTGCTGTTCCACAAATTTTTCTTTTATAGCCTTAAGTTCGGCAAGCGGGAGTCCCATGAAGACACCGAAGCCGTAGTAAATCTTTTCGTCTTCGTTGTCATTATCCTCTGCGATACCACTGACTCGGGGTAAGTTTGCCCCGAGGGCCACACCTTCGCGGCGTGTCGACAATCGACTCTCCATCGCAATTTAACCAACCGAATCAGAAAGAAAAGTTGTCGTACTTATTATGGGTGTACGTAATTTTGAAGCAATCGATTTAATTACCGGTGTAATAATTTACATAATCAATCGATGTCTCTCCCCTCATTCCTTCGACGAAACTGTTTGTACACCTTCTTGTTCTTGGATGCTAGGTCCTCATTTGCATCGCGAGCACGGTACTCGCCGTCTCCTGTAAGCTTCGACCCTATTTCTTTGTGTAGCTGCCGAAACTTTCGAGCATATCCTACAGGTCGAAGAGGCACAGCAAGGAGACGGTTGAGCTGTGCACGCAGCGACTGTACCGATTGGTTGGCTGACTTCTTTTTCTTGTCATCCTGGTTTCGTTGTTTGGCCTTCAGTTCAAACAGCAAGTCTTCATCCATGTCTAAATCAGCAGCAGCAGCCATTTGCTCAAACCAAGTGGCTTCTGACTTAAGTTTACCAGCAGCATCCTCCTGCTCGTTGATACTCTTAGCAAGACGCATGCGGACATCGATTGCCTCCATATAACGGTGGTCAAACGGGAATTCGGAAAGTCCCGTGGGCCGCTGGAGCATCTTGCAGATCTGACTGTGAGATTTGGCATCGGTGGGCGATACAAGCGAAATACTTAGACCGTCCATGTTCGCACGGGCAGTTCGGCCGCTACGATGTACGAATACCTCAGTAGATCGCGCAATGTGATAGTGAACAACGTACTCCACGCTTGGAATATCAAGACCACGTGCTGCAACATCAGTCGCAACTAATATACCTTTCGTGTGAGAGCGAAAGCCATCTAATTTCTTCAAACGTTGCCGCTGCTGCATTTCGGCATGCAGAGCAAAGACGGGGAGATTCAACAAAGTCAGTAATCCAGACAACTTTCGAACCTGATGAATGGCATTCAGAAAAATAATGGTGCGACCAGGATATTGGGACAGAAAATAGTACAAGAAACTATCACGGGTGGACTCAGACACTTCATGCTGACAAAGCTCAAGCCCAGCAGGTAGTGACAATGGCACATTTCCCTGCTGTTTCTTAAGCGTACGCTGAGCATCTCTTGAATCAATTGACGTTGCATCAGGAATATTCAATTCAGACTCAGCGATACTGAGGTCGACAATGGCTGGTTTACCACGAAGCCCTACGCGCTTCATGACTCGTTCCAGAACAGTTAAAGTGTTATGGCACTTTTTGGCCTTGTTCTTTTGAAAGCGGCCTCCTTCCGGGATTGTCAGCGTGGCCGAAAAGAGAAATGTCTGGCGCACAAGACGCTGGGCTACTACTGATTTATTCTTTATCTTTGCACATTTCCCCCCATTTTTTTCGGCAGAGTTTTCGCCATCGCCTGGCTGTTTACTTTGCATCTTGAGCACATCATTAAGCATTACGACTTTCGTGCCTTTCGCAAAGTTTGACATGTCAATATCTCCACTATCACCATCTTCTTCGCTATCTCCATTCTCATTTTCTTTAGTTTCCGAATATTTTTCATTGTAAGAAAAATTCGATAGTTGAGAATTTGAAGACTTTTTAGATTGGCGTAATATACCGAAAATCTTCTCTAGTTCCGGATACGAGCCAGGCAGCAGCATTCGATCAGCCTCATCTACAACCAAAAAGCGCAGCGAAGTCGCCAAATTCTTCATGTGTTCATGCTCGGTGCTGATAATGTCCCAAAGACGACCAGGCGTCCCGATCACAATCTCTGGTCTGTACGACAGAACTCGTTTCTGCTTCTGAATGGCCATACCACCCACCAACGTGACAACGCCTATAGCTTGATTATGCACCATTTGCTCCAGATGCTGCTGGATCTGGATTGCAAGTTCACGTGTCGGAGTCAAAATCAATGCCTTGCAGTCCTTCGTGTATCCTGGTTGCTCGCGCTCTTGCAGAAGCTGACTCAGAATCGGGAGTCCAAACGCTAGTGTCTTACCCGATCCTGTTGGTGCCGCACCTACCACATCGCGGTTGTCAATCAAAGCTGGTAGCAACGTGCGTTCCTGGATGCGTGTTGGAGTGGAAAAGCCAATTCTCTGTAGCGACTGCAGTAGCGAAGGGTGCAGCTTGTACTTGTTCCACTTGGGCAAGTTTACGTCCTTAAACACAATGGTATTGACCTTTACTTCGTCGTTTTTCATTTTTGCACGTCTTGTCTTCAATTTATCTATTGAATACTCTTTAATATCGCTGTTTTGATTCTCGTGTTGTTTTAATGTCTTTTCGGGCGGCAATTCCTCTCCGTTAATATCAGCCGCTGCTTTCGTTTCCGACTGTTGACTCTTGACTTTCAATTTCTTGCGCTTTTTCTTAAGGCCAGCTTTTTGACTCTTATAACCACCAACCAGAACTTTACCACCATCCTCAGTCGTCTCTACGCGATAATCTGTGAGTTCTTCTAGCTCAAAAGCGCAGCCATCTTGAAACCCTTCAATCTGCATATTCTCAATGTCGACATTTGCCCAGCCGTTTCCTACAGATTGGCTTTCATTGGTAACACTAGCGCTTAGGCCCAATCGCTTCTTTCGCTTCTTAGACGGCTTTAGACTCGGTGCTGGGTATGGAACGACAGACAGCCCACTCATATTTCGCACAGTGACAAAAATGCGACCAACACAACGAGTTTCCACCAGCCAATCGACAAATCGCTTTCGATCAGCTACGACCAATCATCGCTGGCTTATGACACACAAATCGACTCGACTAAGACATGCGGACCTTCAGTAGCCTAACGGCGACTCGTCGTGTGATACGGCGCTTGCGCGTGGTTTTACCATCGATCAATAATGATCGTCATCTGGCGACTGAGGCATTTGTATCACGTCACTATCAAATGCGAGAACCAAGAGATGTGGCCGATTTCTTAAAGCGCAAGAATTTGGTAATGCGCGAGACAGACTCACACTTCGTCGTGCGGGATTGCCCCTTCTGCCACGCCACTCACAATAAATTTGGCAATCTGTTTAAGATGTACGTGCACAAGGCGCAAGGTGTGTATAAGTGCCACCGTTGTGGCGCTGCTGGAAGCTGGTTCGATTTCAAGCGCAAGTTGCGTGGGAGCGTAGAAATTGCTTCCTCGACTGGTGTGCTTCATGGGGGCAACAACGCCGAAACATCCGCCGATGTGAAGGTTATTCAGGCTTTGGACAACGAAAAAGCAATGGCTATTCAAAAGAACCTGGTGGATGATCCTGAGTTTGAGCCTGTATTAAAGTATCTGACCGACATTCGCGGTCTTACGAAAGGAGTGTTGCAAACGTACTGCGTTGGGGCAATTGAACAGCCATTTTGGGACCACGATAGCGGTGAACGCGTTACTGCGCAGTGTATCTCATTTCCGTGGATGGCCCAACAGAGGGACTTGGACGCTATGGGCGTTGTATGCCATGACGAAAGAAAATCGGCAGTAGAGGACAAAAACTTGTATGAGGTGTTTCGACTAAAGCTACGTGCTGTGGATGATAAGGCCAAACAGCAACTTGTACCAAAGGGCGGTAGCTGGGGACTTTTTGGCTGGAATACTGTTCCTACTGCTGCGCATGAGCTGGTACTTACTGAAGGGGAATTTGACGCGCTGGCTGTGCACCAAGCAACAGGAATGGCTGCAGTATCTCTTCCTAATGGCTGTCAGTCCCTTCCACCGAGTGTGTTACCTTTGTTAGAGCGATTTGAGCGCATCTACTTATGGATGGACAATGACGCTTCAGGCCAAGCAAATGTAGAAAAGTTTGCGGCAAAGCTTGGCATGGCTCGTTGCTACATTGTTCGTATGCCTGTGAATGCATCATCAGCTTATTTGAAAGATGCAAATGATGCTCTGCGAGCTGGTTTAGACCTTTCAGCAATCATAAATGCTGCTGAGCGGATACCACACAGTCAGATCACCTCGTTTCAAGAACTCCGCCGCGACGTGTATGAGGAAATTGTAAACCCACTGAAAGCTTGTGGCGTGCAGTCGCGCGCTTTCCCATCACTAAATCGGCTGATGAAGGGCCACCGCATGGGTGAAGTGACAGTTCTGACGGGTCCGACCGGTTGTGGTAAAACCACACTATTGAGTCAACTATCGTTGGACCTGTGTGGACAGGGTGTGAGCACGCTGTGGGGTTCGTTTGAAATAAAAAATACACGGTTGATGCACAAAATGCTTACGCAGCTTGCTCAGCGCAACTTGTCAGGTGATGTGCAAGCTTTTGAGGCGACGGCTGATCGGTTTGAGGCTCTGCCAATGCATTTTTTGCGATTTTTTGGAAGTACTGATGTGGATGAAGTTCTGGACGCCATGGAGTATGCTGTGTACGCTCACGATGTGCAGCATATTTTGTTGGACAATGTGCAATTTATGATGGCGGGGCAAGGTCGTGGGTATGACAAATTTGAGCGTCAGGATGCAGCTTTGGACAAGTTTCGAAAATTCGCTTCTGCTAAAAATGTGCATCTTACGCTTGTGATTCATCCACGAAAAGAGGAAGAAGATCATGACCTAACGCTATCTTCCGTTTTCGGTACAGCTAAAGCTACACAGGAAGCAGATAACGTGCTTATTTTACAACGCAATCACGGGAAATCCAAGCTTGATATCCGAAAAAACCGCTTTGATGGCTCTTTAGGATCGATCCCTTTAAAATTCAACCCACAATCCGCTTCGCTGCTTGAAGTCAGCTCGGAAGGAATGTCAGAAGGGGTTGCAGCTGTTGATCTCGAGGCTGAGATGGAACTTGCCCAAAAGCAATGCATGCAGAAGGACTGTGGTCCGCATGAGTATGCCCATCCATCGCCAGTAAGTCATTTCAAGTACGACAGGGAGTTGGTTGATGATCAATCTTCGCAACTGTATGAGTACGTTGCAGCTCCTGCTTTGATGAATGGCTTGCACCGACACAATGGGAGTTACGGCTATAAAATCAACGGAAGCACTTTACCCACGCTTGATAATGATGATACCAATAGTCATGATAATGGAAGTAGTGGCCTAAATGGAAATTCAAGTCACACTGTTTCAAGCTTGCCAAGCCGCAATCATAGTGGCAATGGACCGCACGCTAGTCGCGGAGTTGAACCTTTCGCCGCCTTTACACCTATCATAACGCGGTAAAGGCCGATGAGCTAAACACGAATGTAGAATTGTTTCGGTAAAAATATTACAATAACTTCTATAGTTGTTTTACGAAGTGCGGCTTAGATTATTACCTAAGAGACAGCTGCTCGTAGATTGTCCATGTGACTGCAGTAGACAGCGTTCGCTTGACAACACGCGGTATGATGCCCTTAGCAAAGCCGCGTAAGCCCTCGTGACGATAGATCTTGGATACCGTCTGTCGCATTGTAAGTGAGTTTAACGCAGAAGCAGCTATTCCTTCACCTGTATTGACCATAATGGCCAGTTGCATGCGTGTCTTGACCACGTCAGCCGGATGCACAATGGATGTAGCAAGTACGCCCGCTACCACGCCACTACTAAAGTGCACGCCATACACTGGTAGATGAGAAAATTTCTCTGTCCACAAATCCCGCAGACGAGTGTAAATAAGAACATACAGTCCAGAAAATGGTACGTCACGAATCAGAGTGGGTATCATGCCGCGATACAGTCCACGAAAACCTTCGTGGTGCAGCACATTGCGCACTAAATGCAGGTTGCCGTTGAAGGTACGAGGCGGCAAGAATTCCATCCGCGCCTTGATAATAGTGAATGGTGACATTAAACCGCCTGCAAACGTACGCGCAAAGGCTCCGGCCAAAAATGTGTTGACTGCAGTCGGAGGAAACATATTAAGGCAGTAATCCAGCGTAGCAAAGTAGAGCCCGGCGCCGCCAGCCACGCGAACGAGAGTGGGTGACGTGCCCCGCCACATATACCGAAGCCTCGCTATGGAATTACTGGATGGTATTGACGATGTTATAGTTTCGGGTGGTGAAATATAAGGTTTTCCTGCCAGCGTTTTTGTAGACTCCGCGTGCGCCGTAAAGGCGCCCTGTTGATGCGTCCGAAGCACATCCAAGGGTTGAAATGCCAACGCTGATATCATTCCCGAGATCGCACCTGCCAGCAACTTTTTCGTCTTATGTCTAACGCCTGAAAGATCATTCATGGTGTGGTGCTCGTCTTCTGCCAATTTCGCCATAGTCAAGGACGGAGCTGCTGCTGCCATCCCGGAAAGTTGTTAGATCGGAAAATCACTTTCATGGATTAATCATATGGATAATCGATGTTTGTGTCCCACAATATTTCTGCCATTTCCTATCAAAAATTACACACAAAGATCAAACCAGTTTTTTTGATAACTGTAGTAATTTGGTCCAAGGTATATGATCCGGCGAAAAATGAACATGTAAGTGAATGCAAAACACTTCGTGCTACAAAACTGTCATGTTCCTTGCACAAGAGAATCTTCGCTGGAATTGGACCGCCTTAACAAATGCACCGAGGATTAGGCACGGAACCGAGAGTTCCTTTCAATGTTAAACGTGTACATATTATATTTGTAGTCTAACCTATACTATTACTAAATATAATTGGCTTGCTATGTCCAAATATTAGATTTTATGCATTACCACGGGCCTATTCTTTGCGGTGTCCCATCATCCTTATCAGCAGCAGCTTCTGAGCTTTACACCATAGTGTAGTCTGTACGTACACGATTATACCGTATGCAGCGGGGCTGCCGTAGCTTTGCACTTAGAGGAAGCGTGATATAGGTCACCGACCTTACGTTCTTCACAAGAACCAGTAAGAGAGTAGCGGATCGCAATCCGCTACCTCCACGAGTAGTTAGAGCCTTAACCCAAGGCTAATAAACTCTTCTGTTTAAAATGTAAACTGTATTTATTTGTTTT